GTTTTGGGTTTGGGTGTTTTGGGTTTGGGTGTTGGAGGTTGGGGTTTCCGAAGGGATGTGCTTGCAAAGTTTTATTGCTCTTAATATTAAATAGAAACTGTCATGATCATCATCATCTAGATCACGATCACCTAGTACATCATGTCCTGCTTCATAGAGCGGACTCGTCGAAGAAAAGCGTGTCCTGGAAGCCAAGCTTGAGGACAAGAGCGGTGAACTACGCCTGATGGAGAAGTTGTTGAGCAAAAAGCAGGAAGATTTTACGTTCAGCATGGAACAGTTGAAGGATGTGAAGACCTGGGCGAAACGTACCATACGAGAGGTAGAGGCGAAGGCGGAAGAGGCAATTGCGAAAAGAGATCAGAGGATATACGAATGCGAACGAGAAATATTCGTACGGTAGTGGAAACAGTATGGTCGTAGTCCCTTGTGTTCTTGTTGATTGAAGATTAAAAAGGTACTAGTGCGTCGAACTTTTCACAGACTACGACCACTACGTAAGCAAGTAGTCTTTTAAGTACATTCATGCCATAACAAGCTGACACTGACGAACAAGTAGACCAACAAATTGTTCAATATATATATAACTTATTGATTCAGCCTTTCTCTTCCTGATGTATTTCTATTTTTTATCCAGAAAAGAAGGTGATCATATTATTTCCAACCACGTCGTGGCCTCTCTGGTGTCCCTACTTTTCATGTTTCCGGAAGCAGGAGACGGTGGACCAAGTCCTCAAGCTACTGCATCGTGAAAAAACCAAGTGCGAGAAGCTAGTGCTAAGCACCAATGAGCTGACACGCAAGCTGGAAGGAGATCTAGAATTCAAGTTGCGAATTTTAAATCGGGAAGTAGAGCGCGTGATGAAAGTAGGGGATGACCGTTTCCGTGCCTGGCCATTTCGTAATGATCCGACGAGTACTTCGAGCGATAATAAAGCTAAGGCAAATGCTTGCAAGTCAAAGTCAAAGTCATACTAAAGCTACTTAAGTAGAGTTCTACTAAGTTCACTTTTCGGTGTACTAGTTGTTCTCGTTCACATTATGGCCTTAACTACTATATTTCTGGATCATCCATACCAAAAAGCAAGGATCATGTCTACTCGAGAAATTATACAACCAAAAACTACAACCTTCCCTTTGCACCTCTTTGTCTTGCTCCTCTAATAGTACTAGAAGTGACCGCTCTCGCTCTCGCGAAGCTGAAGATGACGGCGAACAGGGAAACGATAATTCCGCTAAAAAAGAGCGAAAGCATAGAGATCGAGATCATGACAAAGCAGATCGAGAGCGACATCAACATAGAAGCGACTCCTCTGGCTCATCATCGTCAAGGCATAGAACATCCTCGAAGGGGGCGAAGGCTCCTTCGGAAAATGAGAAAAGCCACCAGGGTAGAGATGGTGCTTCCGGAAGAGAAAGACAAAGATCAGGAGATGAATCTGCTTCTAGACGAAAGGCAAACAAGCGACGAGATGAACGAAGAGGAGGACATGACGAAGAGCAAATTGTAGCTGTGGAGGCCACTACAACTCCTAGAAGTACAACTAGTGTTGCAGCAGAGGAAATTGTAGTTGTGCAGGCCACAACTCTTAGAAGTACAACTCCTAGAAGTCCAGGAGCCGAGGATTCTTTTGCTCAAGATTATCCCAGCGACCACACAGACACAATGAAGGGTCGTGAACGAGTAGTACAACACGGAAAAATGAAGGGAAAAGCAGGAACAGCTGCCAAAGCTGCAGGCGGGAAAGGAGCAGAAGGTAAAAGTACCAAGAAAGGTAAAAAAAGCGCGGTTAGTCGCGAAGCAAGTCCGAGTTCTTCATCATCGAAAAATGCGGGGACAGGAGGAAAATCAGGGACGAAAAGGACACCTATGCGGCCACCTGATCGCACACAGGGCGCCGATCCTAGGCGTGGATCTCCATCACCGAAAAGCAGCAGGAAACAATAGAAGTTCTCGATCCTAGGCGTGGATCTCCATCACCGAAAAGCAGCAGGAAGCAATAGAAGTTCTCGATCCTAGGCGTGGATCTCCATCACCGAAAAGCAGCAGGAAACAATAGAAGCGGCTAGTGCGAGAAAAGCAGCAGGGTAGGCTCTATGTGACATCACAAACGTGTCGTCTGCCAATGTTCAATATCATTGCTCAATATCATTGCTCACGCCGCGATTGTACTTATGTTCATTTGGTCTCAGAAGATGAAAATGAGGCGAATACTAATGAGCCGCCTTGTTGTTTGATGTTGAGCACATAATTACAATTGAATTCCATGCAAGGAAACAAGAATCTCTCCGGGTTACTAGGATGCTTTGGGCACAAACCAAAAGTTTTCGATCTCGTCTTCAGCTTCACGAGTATCGGTCTTTCACAGATCTTTCACACGTAGCTCTCCTTCGAAGCGCTAGTACTGCTACTGGTACTGAAGCACGTTGATGTAGATGACCATGACTTCCCGCAAAGTACTACCCTGCTCTCTTGTGATTTTATCCTCCCACGATTTCCTTCTTCTAACATCGTCGAAGATGAATTAGAAGTCCCTGATTTCGGTTTCCTTCGTCCTCACGATAATACTACAATCCTGAAAGCCATTTCAGTTTTTGCTTTTCCGTTTTGCAAACTACTTTTCCGTCTATCACACATAGTTTTATTTATGGAGATTTTTTCTTTTCAAATTGAATGTGAGGTAAAACCTAGACCTGTCAAAAAAATCCTAGTGAGTCTGCTGCGATATCTTTCGTCCATAATGTAACATTAATACCTCGTTGCATCACACATCATTCATCTCGTCGAGAAATTGGTTCTGGTCGGTGGCGTGTTTTTTTAGTTGTTCACATTGCATTAGGCATACAAAAAAAAACACAACACAAAAAAAGGGAAGACGCAAGGTTCCCGATCTTCTTGTCCTTGTAATGGAGACTTTTTTGAATACTTGAGTCGGGGGACGAGAGCATCGTCTTCAACTTCTTCTCTTGCTGGTGTGATGCGTTGGTTTCATGTGATTGATCGGTTTCATCTGCGTATGATCGGTTTGTGAGTCAGCATCCGTGTATCTTCAGTACTCGAAGTGAATAGTTGTACATGATGGTGCAAGGTCTATAATCAATCAGAGTGTCAATCGGTGATCCATCTTCATCTGTTTTGAAAGTAAAGTATAGTCCAGAACGAGTGAAGACCCTGGAAGTACCTAACGCGTCGCTCAGAATGATAGAGAGGACGAGCAGCCGGCGCAAAGTGTTCGGAATTACCTCAAGAAAGTCGAGGAACCAGATGAAGCAGAATCTGTCTCCGTTCTTGATTGAGTACCTAGTATCTGAGCATGGCAACTGTTCTTGTCCAGCTGAGAGATTCTCCTCCGCTTCGCCCCGCCCCAGACAACACCGAACTTGACCCCAAATAAGGACATAAATAATAGAGACGTTCTTCCCCTGGATTGTGTATGAAGAGGTTCTTCCCCTGGATTACTTCAACACCAATCCAGGGGAAGAACCTCTTCATACACAGTAGTTACTACCACAATTGTGTCTTACCTGAAGTCCTCCATACATCACACCTGTCATTCTTATAATAGGTCATTTTCGTTAGAGCTCCTCACTCGATCACTCATGATTTGATTCAACTTAATAAAGACTTTGGTTGTAGTCCTAATGATGCTGCACAGGATCAGGAAACGAAGTTCTGTCTGGGCAGCATAAATAGTACACAAGCGTCTTAAAAATAGGAATAAATCTTTATTGACCTTCCAGCCAAAAACAATTACAATACATAGGGACAATTTAAACATTCGAGAAAGAACTAACTTCGTAGTTGTAAAGCAAGTAGACAGAGACATCTTCTGATAAGACCTAAAGACTTCCACCATTCCCATTAAACTCGTTTTGGATCTCGTCATCCCGTTTCCCTTGTTGGTATTTACTATTCTGCGTAAGCATCAAAACCATCATTTCGACAAGATGGGGCAGCCGTCTAGCAAGGAAGTTCGTGGCTCCAGGTCCGAGGGGCGCACGCCTGCTAGGGTCCCTGACGGTGACGAGAAGGCATCTGACAACACGCCGTCGAACGAAGCAGCAAAGGAAAAAGGCAAGCAGACGCAGCTCGAGGACGATGCAGTTCCTGGCTCCAGCTCCGAGGAGCGAAATCAAAGACACAACCAGTTCATGGACGATGTAGATCGCTTGATAGACAAAGAAATACAACCTTCAGTGGAAGATATTATAAAAAAACCGGAATACAACGACAAGGACATCAGCAGCGCAGATATTAATGGTAATAGAATATGCTACAGCTAGCGTATAATTGATGTTTTACTTTATTTTCAAAGGCCATTCAATTGAATATTCGGTGTTTCTTTGACGGCTCGGAGCAGCAACTACTCGTAGGTTGTAAAACTATTTCAAACTGAAAAATAGCAAGTCTTTCTTCGGTTGTCGCGATTCGTTCGCTTGCATCTTCCCAGTCGGAATCAATGTTAATGTTTTTTCAACCCCGC